ACTATATATTTATATTATAAATAGAAATAGGAAAGGTATTAATTTAATAATACTTGTTATTAATTGTGAAAATAACACATATTAGGAAGATTTGTAATTATTTTTCTTATGTTTGCATGAAATGAGAAAAAAGAAGAAGTATTTTGAATTTTTCGAACAATTCCAAAGATTTTGATCAATTCCAAGCATGAATAGACAAAAAAAAACAATTTTTAAATTATAAATTTTATTAAACAGTGAAAATTTAAAGATTTAGGGTGAAATAACTAAAAAAAGTAATTATTTAAAAAAATTTTAACGTTTTTTAAATTTTCTGATCAATTTCCTGCATGAATAAACGAGAAAAACAAAAAAAAATGGTCCCAGAAGCATCCAACGAAATTCCCAAGTTGAAAATCTTTATTTTGTATCAGGAGAGTGAAAAGTAGCAGGAGCTCACTTCTCGGGACGGTCCTGATACCGACAGTGCTGCTATCTATTGGCAGAACATAGCAACTACGAATTTTATATGAATTTCCAGCTGAAAATTCTTCGATTTCTATTAGGATATTAGGAGGTTGTAGGAGCTCACTTTTCGAGTCGACCAGGAGTCTTTGCAGTGCTACTATCTAGCGGCAACTTCTAGAACTACAATTTCAGATACTTTGTTGGATAGTGCTGGCACCTTACGGCAGTTTTAAGAACTACGTTCGAGTTTCCCGTTTCCAACATTTGTTCCCTGGATAGTGCTGCTATCTTGCGTCAATTTTTTGAACTATTTTCCGATTCTCGTTTCCTGGATAGTGCTGACCTCTTTTAACAATTTTTGGAACTAATATTTCATTTTATATGTGTATTGGATGGTGCTGCTCTCTTTTATTGGTTTTTAAAACTATTATTCAAACCTTTTGTTTGATAGTGCTTCTACCTCATAGTTATGGAAACTATTGTTCCAAATTCGTTTAAACTTATAAATGGTCACTAAAATTGTTGATTTCGCATTATTATATTGTTTAAACGTATTTTAATTTAATTCTTAATGCGACAGACCTCCACAACCTTCCATAATATGTTAATAAGTTAAAATTGTGTGGAATAAATTCTATGAAATGTTTTTTTTTCCTGAAGTGTATTGTCTTAACTGTTATTTAGTATAAGTTAGAGTCTGATTATTTCATGTCTACATTATTTCTTTATGTTTTTCATTAGAAATTACAGAATTTAGTTTAATTATTTATTGCTAGTTTCTCAAAAGTGTATATAGTGAGTGAAGTGAAATTTTGAATGAATTTAGAATACTATCAATAGTGAACTGTGTTTATAAATATAGATATGTGATAGTTGTGTTGTGTAATTTTAAATATATTGTAAACCATAATAGACGAAAACAAATACATATATTTCTATAAAGTGTAAGGAGTGAATGAAGTGGACTTTAAATGGATCTATTATAAATCGACAGTGAACTGTATTCATAAATATTATGGATATGTTATAATTTTGTTATGTATTTTTAAATAAATGATAAAGCATAACAGAAGAATTCAAATAAATATGTTTCTGTGAAGAGTTTAGTTTCCCCATTCTTTCTCTATAATCAAACACCAATGCTTATTTCTGTATGTATTATTAACTTAATTATATCATCTGAATGTATATCTAATTCAAATTAAAACTGTTACCTATTTTTTTTTTCAAATGTAGAAGGTAAGTTTCCACAATGTTTCTATCAAATTATTCATGTTCATATGGAATAATTCATTCTTGGTTTTCTCATAAACTTTTCTTTTAAATTTTGAAACTGGTTTCATTTAAAATCTTTTGATAGTTGAAACCTTAACATTTTGAAATTTATCATGTGCTAATTATTAATTCTATCAAATATTTTGATTCTAATTGATTGACTGAGGTTTATATCGTGAAACAAATTCAATCATATAACTATCAATGCAAACTTTTGGGTCTTTATCAAGGATAGAATTAAATCTGATACATAAGATATATATATATAAATGTATATAGTATATACACAAATAAATAACCAAAAGATAATCAATACAAGTAAATTAAGGATAAAGATAATAGTAAGAATATAAATATTAAAAAAGATACATACTATTTTTCTTTTTGAATCAAAGAAAAAGAAGGTACAAAAACAGTCTGAAGTTCAAATTTTTTATGGTAAATTTGGGTTGTAATATACAAAACTTTTACATAAGTTTATTTATTGTATATTTTACAAAATTACAAATAGCATTTCAAAGAAATAAAAGTAACCACTTACATTTTTCTCATTTATAATATATATTCACTATGTAAATAATACAAGTACATAAGTTAAATTCATATTCATAAATACAAAATAATGAATTATAGATATGGAACGCATTGTATTATTAAGTCAGAATGTTTAGTTTATAAAAACAATACTTTTCAATTTACAAACTAGGTCTTTTACAATAGAAAACAGATGAATTCATTTATATATCTTTAAGATATATTTAATTGTATATTGATGTTCTGTTTGTTTAATAAAAAAAGATATTTGCTCATCGTTTACAATATTTACATATTATACATATACATATATACATATTATACAATATATACAAGATGGAAAGTTCCTTAATCATCCAACATACACAATCCATCTGAGAGATCTTGAGCACCTAGAAAGTTGATTTGTTTAACTTTGATAAATATTCTACGTAAACATTTCTAATAACTAGAAAATTAATCCTTAAAATATAAAAAAAAAACTGGATAATTAACTTTATTGCAAAATTGTATTATAAAAATTATAATTTTAACAGTTCATTGAATAAAAATTCTATTTTTTTCATTATTGCTTTATATTTGTTTATTTCCCACTCCATAAATATTATATAAAGTGTAAAATTAATGCAAAAAATCATGAAAAAAAAATCATTATGTATGCTGGTGTTACATCTAAAGGTTTATTGTATTATTGTATTTTTTGTTTTAACACACCTCAGATTGTGACTGTATCACTGTTACTAAATAAGACTTATTTCATACAAATAATAACAATTAAATCATAAATAATAGTTGATGAATTGACAACCTTCAATAATAATTATATTTGTTATTTATAAATTTAATTTTTTTTAAACTTAATTTAAAGTTGTATTTTTTTACTTTCACTTACCTATATATCAAATATATCGTAAGTATAAGTATTGCGATCATGACAATTTTTGAATCTGAGTTTTCAATGGAAATACATGTTTTGAGGTCTCCTGAGTCCAAGTAACCAAGTAGTGCAAAATGGTCTATGTATGTGACAGAGTGGGTAAAAACACTTAAAGTAAAATAAAGTGGTCATTATTCTACCCACTTTATTATACTTTAATGTTCACTTATCTACTTCATTTTACTTTAAGTGTTTTTACCCACACTGTCTACACAGATATACACATACACAGACCATTTTGCACTACTTGGTTACTTGGACTCAGGAGACCTCAAAACATGTATTTCCGTTGAAAACTCGGATTAAAAAATTGTCACGATCGCAATACTTATACTTACGATATATTCTCATACCTATTGTTATCTGGTTCTTTTCATAGCCCTGATGAAGGCCTGAACTTCGGGTCGAAATGTCGGCAAATGTTAAAATAAATATTATTATTTATTTTTGCATTTTTATTTTGACTAATCACCCCAAACATCCTTCTCTTCAAAATAAATGCATGAATAGACAAAAACAAATACAAAAAATTACATATACAAAGAATAAACATATTTTACTTGTATACAAACAAGTATCTACAATACAATAAAATTTCAGATTGATTTAAAGTATAACTAAAACGAATAAATAAATAAAGAAAAAAGGTCTAAAACTATAATTATATTAAAAAAAAAATAGATAAATATAAATATTTTATATTTAGAGGTTTATTAAATAAATGATCTGTTTTTGAATGTTATACTTTAACAGTTATATTATAACAGCTATGTTATACTTTTGTGTGTGATAGTTTGAGGAATTAGTCCGTCGCAATCAAATACAACTGTCATTTTTATTTAGAATATTTTAAGTATCTTGCTTTTCTTTTTTTTTTTTTGTATATTGTAGTTTTGTGGGATGAATTTTGGGATGTATTTATATAATGGTTGTCCTTTAGTGAGCACACATGCACACATGTTATATGTGTGGGTGTGAGATAGTGTATTAGATTATACATGTATAATGATCTTATATCTATGATCTGATTGATTATGAATAAAAACATTTTGAATAAAATGTATATATTAAATATATATCTGTATATATAATCATTGTTCTAAATCTGTATTCCTGTCAAAACTGCTAACAAATACTTAATTCTAAGAAACGTTTTTTTCATACATTCACAATTAACAAAGACTTTGGAATTGCAAGAAGAACTCGGTAGCTTCACAACCCTAAATACATTGTGCGGATTTTATTCTACTTCTACCTCAAAAAACAATTATTACTTTAAATTTAAAAAGTAAGTATAAATGAAGATAATTTTGATATTTTTTGTGTGGTTAAGTGAGTTGTTTTTTATACTTAGAAATTCGTTTGAATAAATAAATATAATTCACTCAAACTTTGGCATTCTTTATATTGATACATTGAAAAAAAAAATTGGTAGATTGATAATGAAGGGGGGAAAAAAAATAGAGCGCTAAGATAGGAACAATGTGTTTACGATTTGCTAAAGGAAAGTTCAGTTGAAGAGGAATACAATCTGGTTAGCTGAGATCTGGTATTATAAGAGTGCAATGAGAAATTTAAAGTATGTAAATTATGAATTTGTAATGACTTATTTGTTCTAAAGGATCAAAAAAGATCTTTATCTTTCATAAAACTGGATAAAGTGACCTTACCTTTGCATTCAAATGGAAACATAAGAGCCTATATAACCCTAAAAAGGTATTAAGCAATTTAATGTGAAACAGCCGATTAATCTTTTCAGTCTCATCTCAAGTTTACAAGATAATCAACCATAAACGAGGCAGTCATGGTCAAAAGTCAATATAGGATTAAAAATAAATTTACCTTACTTTAACAGAAATTATATTATTTTACTTTACACAGCTTTATTATTTCGCCTTTTTTAAATATAATAATTATAATAACCATAAAATAAAAAAACGATGCACATTGTAGTAGGTCGCAGTGCCTCGCAGCTACCGGTACAAGGGGTATAGATTCCACGGCTGTGTTCTTTATTGTATGCTGTTAGAACAATAATTGTTAAATTATAATTAATATATTAATATTGAACATAGTATGAATAGTTTAATCCAATTTGATTAAATATCAGTAACAGTTGAATGATAAAAATTAAATATATATAAACTTTCTCTTTGGTTTTGAAAGAGGAGATGAAAGTATCTACCAAAAACTTTTAATGGGATTTCCTGACAATGATTTTCAAAATGACTTTTGGAAAACTTTAAGATCATAGTTGTAATAAACCAGACAACCGAATGGAATAGAATAGAAAATGACTTTAACATCAGTATTTATTTTATATATATTACAAATATATTTGCTCTAATTAATACATTCATAACTTTGTTTTATTTATTAAAAATTAACAGTATTATTTTTTTATAAGGTCTCGGATGTTTGTACAACAGAGTACCACTTACCACAGTACATAGTAACACTTACTACAGTACATAGTAACACTTACTACAGTACATAGTAACACTTACCACAAAGGCCCTTATACTGCTCAGACTCTACTCCTCTGCTACATCGTGAGAAGTGTTCAAACTCAACGTATAACTTTTCACCCTTAATGTTGCCACTTACAAACAAAGAAACATTGAATTAATAATGACATTGGTACACAGTTCTTACCTAAATACTACACACTCAAATGTTACTTTTTTTTTTAAATTTAATACCATTAAAATAATGGTAGAAAATTTGATTACAATAAATGTCTAAAAAGTGCATGGACAATTCGTAAAATAAATAGATCCTCATGCATCCCATGTTCTGCTTTCCTATGTTGATGCAGGATCTCCATAAAGATTATAGTTCAAAGAGAATAGATATTTGAAGTTGACCACCGTTCTCTGAGTTTTAAGTAATTTGTCTACTACCAATCAATAACAAAAATACTTGCAAGAGTCTGTTTATTTTCACTATAGAATATCTGTCTGGAAATTCAGAGCAGTATCTATGGTTCTGAACAATCACCTAAATACCAAAATTTTTATCAAAAATGATTCGGCATTTATTGAGAAAGACAAAAACTGATTAATATTTTTCATGTAAACATGAAATATTTTCCTCTTACAGAACTATAACACATAAATCAGGCAGTTGCTCAAAACTTGATACATTACCAGAGTTAATATGAGAAATCTAATCTCTAGCTGATAAGATGAACATTAATAAAATAAAAACATAGAAGTTAAAGAGAAGAAAGTTTCTGTTTCTTAATATTATCCAAATAATAAACGTTGAGATACAATATTTTATGCCAAATCAAATACTTTAAATTTTTACTCTTACGCCGGTCTATAGTAACAGACCAATAAGGTCTTATAAATTTCTTCATCTTCAGGATCTTGATAAACAGAAATTCCACATCCAATATATTTGGTGTTAGCCCAAACCATCTGTAAAATTAAACAAAATATATTTAAAAATTAAATTCAATAAAGTTTACCCTTATGTCAACAATAGTAACAAAATAATGAAAAAATGTATGTGCTCAAATAGAAGTCACTAATTGAACTAAAGAGTGAATGTGAAACTTTTTTATTTTATGCTCCTCACAAATCTTTAAAATGTATGTATGTAAAACTATTTATAATATATCATCTTTAGTATGCAAGTGCACCTATGCATTAGGGTCATTTTTCGAAAATGGTAGAATTTTGAATCCAAATTATTCTGAAATTTTTAGTCCCATGTTTTTATTATAATAACTTTAGGTATATTTGAGAACATTCCTAATTTTCGAATGTATTTTTAATTTTTAAGAATGTTGGTTCTATGGACCATGTCCATGGATTCCAACTGAAGGTAGGAAAATGTTCTTTGTAATGATTACTCATAGTCGAATCAACTTTTTTTCTATATTTTTCTATATATATATATATATATATATATAGATAATTTTGTTGTTAAATAGGCAAACTATGTGGTGTGATTTTCTTTGTCATAAGTAAGTAAATGTTTAAATGTATGTATTCATATATATATATATATATATATATATATATATATATATAATATATATATATATATATATATATATATATATATATATATATATATATATGAATACATACATTTAAACATTTACTTACTTATGACAAAGAAAATCACACCACATAGTTTGCCTATTTAACAACAAAATTATAAATAAAAATTTTGTTTTATTTTTAAATAGAATATTTCTCAAAAAGGTGATTTGAAACCGCTCACCACCATATAAAAACACAAGCTTTTTTTTTTTTTTTTTTTTTAATATTATGCTACAAATAGTTTTAAATAAAATGTAAGGAACAGAAACTACAAACTATGTCATCCTGAGAGAATAACGCATTAATTGGTTTCAAATCACGATCCAAAAGTTAGATTAATAGTGAAGTACCTGAGTGAAGTCTCTTGTACCATCCTGAAGGGGTTCACCTTCTGGATCATATCTTTCTACTTCATCGTACCACAATTCAACAAGGTAATCAATGTCAATGACACTATAATCATTTGAAGACTGCCAAGAAAGGTTTTCCCCAACTCCTTCGGCTTTAATGAATATATAGAAATAAGTTATTTAAAAATCGTATTAAATAAAAAATACAATCTAGTCGACTCTTGATAATTAGAACTTTTCTTCAGCTATTAACTTTGATAAATTGACAAAATACTATATTTTGATAGCTCGATAACTCGAAATCCTTTTCATAACAAGAGGGAGAGAGAACATTCAATAAATCAAACTAGACCACTTCCCTCTTTATAATTCGAAATGTTCCCAGTAATTATTTTTTAAATGAGGCAGTAAGTAAAATAGGTCATTCATATTTTCAAAAATATAATAACAACTCTTAATAATTCAATTTTTTTTTCTCCTCTTTGTTGATAATTCAAACTTCTTAATAACTTGATTCTCGATAATTTTTCTAGTAGTCCTTTGGATTTCGAATTATCGAGAATTTACTGTATATAATTATTAAAATGACTGACAGATTTCCAGATTCAATTAAGAAGGTAATTCCAACTGTTCCTGCTGAAAACAATGTTTTCTACAGATTATCCCATAAACGATGAAAAAATTTTAAAGTGTAGAGCTCAAAAGTTCATGCAGGCATTGGTCTGATTCCTCTCAAGAAAAAATAAAATTTAAGTTTTGTATTTTTTCAAGAAAGACATGTTATGTTTTTTGTTAAACATGAAGTAATGATTACAAAAATCATTGCCAAACCTCCTGCCTGCTCCTTCAGACTATATGTATTCAAAGCCACTTTCATTGCCTTCTTAAGTACTTTAACCACCACTATCAACACCTTTACGTGAAAATTGTAACAGGAATTGATGAATACAAATTTTTCAGGAACAAGGATTTGTTTTTGTTTCTAGTGGCTAAATCACACAAACTTCCATTCTTCACAAAATAATGAACTATTCACCATTGTTTTTTTATTTTTTATCAGCCTCATATTGGACTGCAATTACCCACTTTTAGAAAAACTTGCTTGTTCTATAAACATTAAGTCGATGTGACCATGTTAATGAAGTAGAAATTGGTTACTGAATAAGCTGGTTTGGTTTTAAAAAAATATTTTATGTAACATTTTGTATTCTCAAAGTATTACTACATTCAGTAAAAATAATTACTATAAGTTATTATATAGCTTTTAATTACAAAATTAAACCTCTTATTAATAAAAAATATTTAAAATTAGTTGGCCCATGCAAATATTTTTCATAGTATTTGTTAGTGAACAAATAACAAAATAATAAGGAAATAAAATAATGAAGCTAATCATAAGATGGATGAATGAATTCCTGTTTTCTCGGTAATTATAATTGCTCAACGAAAAGAAAATTACTCTAAAACTTCATAAGTTATATCTTTGCCAATAGTGGTCAAATAATTGGATCATGAACTAACGAGATATGGAGTACAAAAAAACACATTTGAGAAATAATATATAAAGATAATAGTGCTGTGTTGAGCTGGTCACCAAAGAAACCATTTAATTTTTTATTAGAATTTTTTCCCTTCCGTTGACTCATTCATAACTCCTCAGGGTTTTCTCCAACCTCAATGCAACTAGAAGCATTGGAAAGCTCAATAATCACTCTTTAACAAATTATTCATAAAATTCTTTGGATTTACCGGTTTTATTAGAGTAACAAAGGTTAGTACTTGAATTAAACTTACGTAAGTCTTGGTTGTGCTGGTAAATGCAGTTATTTGCCCATTCCTGGGCCATCCGAGCTAATGTTTCATCCCATGTCTGAAAGATAAGGAATAGTATTTATAATATATCAAGACAAAGTTGTATTTTTTTTTTTTTTTTTTTTTATTGATTGAACAAAATTCTAAGAAATTTTTAAAAATTGTATATAGGTAGAATATGATTTCATCATGACTTACTATAATGATTACAATGAAACATGATACTCGTGTTTCTTATAAGCTCAATTATTATTTCTCAAGTTAAATGACCATTATTCCTTTTGGATGGTGAGGATGAGACTGCTCTTAAGCACTTATGAATGACTCTGCCACTACATGAATGAATGACTACAATAAATTTTGGTAGATATCCTTCCTAATAAAAAAATATAGCATTCTAAGCAAACTGCTCCAGTCGCAAGTCCTTTACTTTTTATTCTTGAGACGAGGAACCTCATATAAAATGTATGGTTATTTATTTTACCAAATTGTACAAATCCTTGGTGTAGCTTTTACAAAGCCAGAAATAAACATGCATCTTAATGTTGGCTGTTTGAATTTTTTTTATTTTATTTTTTTAATTCTTAAATAAATTATTTAAATTCCAAGATTGTTTATTTAGGTTCTAAAATTGTTGTCCGATAATGTATGAAATTTTTCTCTGATTTATTTCCTTATTATTTCATTTTAATACTACAAAACTTTATTATTCATTGTAAAAAATTCATAAAAGTTTTTTTCTATTGTATCTAAATAATATTCTTTGATACAAATCAAGCTTATCTTATTTAATTATGAACTATTTTAAATTTATTGAAATCTAAAGGTATGTGTTGTAATATTTCTCTCTGTTATTGTTCTTTATTGTCGTTCTTCTTTTTAAATCTGTAATCTGTCCTTCTAACTTTTACTCTCTCTCTCTCTCTCTCTCTCTCTCTCTGTCCGTTAGTCAAATAACCCGATCTTTGTGTATCTATTTACCATTATATTAAATAAATTTGTGGTGTATAAGTTTAGATAGGATGAGACGGATAAAGTATATAGGGTAAGACCGCCAAGAATGATAGGCGGACAACCCTGACACATCCAGGGCTCAGCAACCGAGGAGGCAATCCCCAAAGGAGGCAATCTCCACGCTCCCAGGAACAACCTGGAAGACACAAGGGAGGGACTGCAGAAAAACATGGGATAACCACGTTTTCCCAGAGCTGAGAGATCCCAGGAGCCGTTGTGGAGGAAGAGATACTAACTCTGAAGAGAGTGCCTGACCTTTTTCCTTTTTTTTTTTCTCTTTTTTTTCCCTTACCCTCTCTACCAATTTTTAAACAACTACTGTATATATATACAACTATGTATATATATATATATATATATATATATATATATACATACATGCGATAGGGATTGTTTTTTTTACCTTTCCTTACGCTGGGGTATTTCATCCCTGGCCTAGGGACCAAGCTCCTATTTAAACTAATAACCAGCCCTCATACCTGCTTTCAGGTTAGTGAAAGGCAACACTAGTAACAATTATTTTAATTAGGCCCTTAGATCTCTTAGTCCAAACTCTATTTATTTTTATTTAATTATAGTTCATAAATACTTATATTAAAAATATTACAAACATTAGTTGTTTACAAAAGGAATATATATATATTTTTTTTGGTTGGCGCTACAGACCTTGTTTATGTGACAGCGAGATGTGGTCCTCTAGACCACATCCCGATTCCCGATTTAAGTACACGGAGATAGAGTCATCAGTCCTAAGCCTGGTCGGTGTGAGTGGCCTCCAGTAGGCTGATGGGCCTCACATACCGGGGGAGGGGGAATCTCGGGCAGCGTGGCTTTCTGTGGTGGACAGTCACCCAAATCGGGCAGTCACCCATCCAAGTGCTAACCATGTTCGGTGTTGCTTAACTTGGTTACCTATTGCAAGCGCCTTAGCCTGCAGGGCTACCCCAGCCCCATGCCAAAGGAATAATTACCAAAAGAAATAATAAGTAGGTTCAAAAGGAAATACATAGTTCACTGGGCAACTAATAGATTGGGCTACACAAATTACTAATTATTATTGAAAAAATCAATGACTTGCATTAATGAATGACATAGTTCATTAGTACAAAGTCTAGAGGGCGCCACGCGCATCCTCCAATACACCCTACCAAAAGTTATTTACTATTCTACCTTTGACAGAGAAGGATCTCCTGTCCATTAGCTCTGCATCATACCTTTTATTTTTTATTGCTAGTTAAATGTTAGTATTGTTTTTACAATTTAAAATTAAATCACAACTAAAATTAATAAGATTTAATAAAATACATAGCAATAAATTTAATTTATAAATATGTTACATATAAATGTGTCTGTTCACAAAGTTAAAAAATAATAAAACAACAAAACATGAACATGACTTCTGTTAACGATTACAATTTATAAAGGCCCTAATAAAATAAGTTACAGTGTATATGAGAGATGAATGCTTCACAGTTTTTTATAAAATTGTAAAATTAAATCAATACTAACATTGAAAATTATTTGAGAATGGAAAACAGTAATTTTAAAATGATCAAAGCAATGAGAAATTGCTTCTATTATCAATAAGTGTGTATAAACACAATATACATGAACTTGTTTCCTAATTATTCCATACATCACCTAATATCTTATATAACAATCATAACAATCAAAATCCATTATGTATAGATTGTAAATGAAAGTCATTTGCTAAAAAAATATGAGTATTTATTTAAACATTTTTAAACAACAGATATATTTTTTTTTTTTTTTTATGTCTCAGAATTCTTATCTATAAAAATTAAATACCATTCATAATTTTTTTTACATTCAGTTACTATATAGTAGAATATAATGTATAGTAAACGAAAGTATTGCGATTGCAAAAATTCTTGAATCTTAGTTTTCAATGGAAATACACTTTTTGAGGTTCTCTGAGTCCAAATAAGCAACTCTGTGTTTGTGTATGTGTGTGTGTGTGTGTGTGAACAGTAGCTCAAAAACGATAAGTCATGCGAAACTGAAATTACGTATTTAAGGTAGTTATATGGCTGTGATGTAACAGCAACTTTTTCTTTAAAATAGGCTAACCAAAAGTGTCACTTTATATCATCGACTTTACACATTTTAAATAATTTACTATCTCCCAATGTCAGTAGCAACAAAAAATGCCTGATTATAAACTATGAAAGAATTTGATAATTGACTAACCGAAAGGATAACTTTATATCATCGACTTTACACATTTTAAATAATTTACTATCTCCCAATGTCAGTAGCAACAAAAAATGCCTGATTATAAACTATGAAAGAATTTGATAATTGACTAACCGAAAGTGTCACTTTATATCATCGACTTTACAAATTTTAAATAATTTACTATCTCCCACTGTCAGGAGCAACAAAAAATGCCTGATTATAAACTATGAAAGAATTTGATAATTGACTAAAGAAGAAAAAACTTAAAAATGTTTTTTTTTTTATTGAAAATGAATTTACGGAAATAATATACAGAATATATAAATATAATATAAGGTATTGTTGAAAAGCTGAGCATTTGAGAAAACAGAATATCTAACTTATGAAGTCGTTGATGGTAAAAGAGAATGACAAAGAAATTATAAATAATGATTTCTAAAAACTAATGTATTTTAATGGAAACCACATGTTCTCTGATTATAAACTTTTAAAATTATTTTAAGTTTGTAAAAAGATATACATAGACCACCAAATCAAGGCAATGACATTGTTTATAAAATTAACTGACTGTACTTGTGTGAAAGAAGAAGTGAAATATAAAAATATTTCATGGATGGGTAAAACATATGTTTATAACCTTAAATACATTCACTGTAGTTTAATAACATTAGATTCTATATTATATTTAAATAGTTAGAAATATAGCGTAGGTTCATTCTGGAAAATCATTATGTAACAGTTTAGAAAATTCAATTAGTAGATAGTTTGATAAATTTTCCCTCTCTGAAAGAAAAACTGTTGTAATCGAAAAGAAATAACAAAACCAATTAGTCATGGAAACCTGATAAAGGCAGAACTGAAGTTTAAGTAATTCAACAGACGTCTTCATATTTCCTGCTAAAACTACTCAACAACAGAACAAGAGACAAGAGAAGTAAGATATTTATTACAGTAATAATTGATTTCATGTTCCTATCAAGTACACATTTTCTCTATAAAATTCAGTTCCTCCATAGGAGTGCTACTTTAGTATAAAATGTCATTCTTAAATCACGTACAGGATATTTCAGTATTGTTGGGAAGTGTGTACTTCCCATTGGGCATTTTTTGAATTTCCTCATGAAATGCATTTATTTAAAATATCAAAATCAAAAAAAAAAAAAAAAAAAAGAAAGGAAATAAGACCCAAAACAAAAAAAGAAGAGTTTTTAGAAAAGTTTTATAGAATCACTCAGATATATTAAATATCATTCATCAGCATTTAATATGTGTTTACAACGAAATCTTAATGGTAAAATTTCTAAAATGTATGAGTAACATTGTTTTTAAAATTTTGATGACTACTTTTTGCAGCAGTAGGGCGATGTTAATAGCTAACATTATTCATGTTCTAGCATTATTATCAGTTTTATGTATGGTGAAATTCAACTTTAGATACATACATGATGGAGGAAATGAATAAATTTGGTCCTAATTAGTAAATTAGAATAATTTATCAAACTGAATAATATAATATAACATGTATATAATTACATTTAATCATGCAAAACTTACATTAAATCAAAACCTATAAACATATATCAACATTTACAAAACAAACATAATTAATTATAAACTCACATATTCAAGCCTAACAAATGAAACCCTGAATCAGTATTACCAATCATACAATTATCAACCACCTTTTTTACAAATTATACATAAAAATAATGACAACTATACTTCCTTATTATTACCTTTAATTGTCACAAATTAATTAATCATAGTAGCATTTCTGGATTTCACCCTCACTTTCAGAACTATAAATTTTTCCATGAATATTATTTCTTGAACAATGTAACCATGTCAATGTAAATACTTAAAAATTTTCAAGATTAATCTTCTAGACAAACAATTATTTTGTCATTCAATAATAAAATGAATAAAACAATTGAATAGCACTTTTATCAGATTATCTTCATTACATCTAATTATTTTAGAATAGTCTCACTTTTACGTTGCTTCTTTTATCTCATGTAAATGGCATTAATCATTATGTAAAAATTCATTAAGTATTCATTATTTACCTTATTTACCTTCCCTTTTAAATTATATCAAAAAGGATAGGTAAAAATATGATGAAATACAGGGGGCAGATCAAGATTTTTTCTAGGGAGAGAGAGAGCAAGTTTAGTTATGCCTTCCCTAATTTCAACCTTCCCCCTTCCAATAAAAATAACATATTTCATAACAGTATATCAGGTAATATTGTCGAGGGGGCGGGATGGTCGAATGGGCTAACGCATGTGCATAGTACTGCGAATTCCCTGGCAACCAGATAACCAAAGTTATGAAAGATTAAAAGTACATTTTTGCGTCACGGTGCCGGGGAGGATTTTAAATTCTCTACCCTCACCCCCCAGCCCGGGAAAACCCTGTATAGCCTAAAAGGGGAGGTAGGGAAGAACAAAAAAAAAATGGTAATATGTCATAATATAATATGTCATTAAATGACATTTCGTAATATTAAATCATTAACAACTTGGTTGAATTTTTCCTTTGTGTAATCAGAAAATTGTGATCTTAGTGAAACTATAGTTGATATATAAAGGATTTGAGTCAGTTTAATGCATTAACTGTGTTTTTTATTTACAAATTCACAAAAAGGTTCTTAAAGGTTTAGTTCCATCAGAAATGCTGATTGTGATTTTTCACAATAAACCGAAGATATATTTGGAAATAAGTATAATGCTCTCTTAAAATTAACCCATTTTATAGTCTGATTGAAGGTTTAAACAATTAAAACATAGAAACATATTTTATGTAACATAAAATTTTGCTAAATATTTGCCGCTCTCTCTCTCTCTCTCTCTAATTACAGCCCTATGGATTTTTCTCTGATTGTAAATTCATTGCATCCATAGATTATGGTTACTCCTCCCTCCCCTCACTCACTCATTGCGACTATAGCACCTCAATAATAATGTTACCTAAACATTAGAACATGATTTTTTACCCAATATTAGGGTAGCCCATCCTCTCCAAGGTTGATGGTGCATGAACTCCTCCTCCCTTCTGAGAAATTTTATTGCTCCCCTCTTCTTAAAAATAGTCACAGCGAAAGTAGAATTAGAAGCTAATTCTAATTAGCTCTAAAAGCTAAATAGTAATAATAACTCACAAGAACCCACATGTCCATTCCTTCTGGTAACATGGTTTGTCCTAAAGCCACTCTGCTTCTAGCTTCGTTATGTAAAGTAAGTATTTGCTTGATTTCCCTACAATCTAATGGATTTTTTTCTGAAATATATCGATGTAATCAGTGGTCAATGTATAATATAATTTAAATTAAATGCATATTTAATGATATTCTGATGTATGTATATTAAGATTTAATTGAAGTAATTTTCTCTTTCAGCTTTTCCATTTTATTCAAATAACTCATTTAATAAAAATCTTAGATAGTCAAGACCTCCAAATGATCTACAAGTTGAATGGTCATAGTCAGTTGAAATATAGACAATCTTAAAAAAAAAAATTCAAAATTGGAAGCAAAGGCATTTAAATATAGGCTTTAAAAATCCAATTTTTCTGATGCCACATCTCTATCAACAACAATACTCAATCAGAAATCTCGTCTGCATTTCACTACATCTTATTTTTCCACTTGTTATTATTCATAACATTCAATTTAAGAATCTCCCTCACCCTCCTCCACCTTGATGACTGAGTAGTGTACAGTGACCTCTCAGCGGAACTCGGAGATAGACTAAGAAAAATTATGATTAGCTTCATAAGTTTCGTCAATGAGACACTGATATGTTCTCTGTTTCCCCCCCTTTAGGAGACAATACTTCTCCACTTATGCCTTTCTTAGGCTATTGCTTAGCACACAGTTCTGCAGTATCTTTCATGGTTCAATCTACCCATCTGTTTCTTTCCTCCCTCTTGGTCTCTTACCAACTATATTCATATAAACATTAAATGAACTGTTCTGTTGTAATAAGTAAGAGGATGTGTAGTCGTAATAGAACCTAATATGTGTTTACTTTCCATGGAGAACACAAATTACACATCACAAGAGGTCACTACTGAAACTAGAGATTGACCTCGATAGTAATTAATCTGGTTGAAACTATTCTATTGAGTAATATAACATTCTGTCACAATAAGGACAATAGTTATAATGAGAAAAGAGTTCAACAATAGTACTTAAAGCTAGAGAATGGTACTGAAGAATACTATCCATGTCTAGATGCTTTTATACATATATACATATATATATAATATGTATATTTATAAATATATATATATTTATATACACACAAAATATTTAATATCAAAGTAATGTAACCAAATGAGTTCAGATAGTTAAAGCTTATAACAAACGTTTTAAATGGAAAAACCTAAACTACAAAGCCATGAGTCTTCAACATAAAGTTGAATAGTCAAATTGCCACAATTTCACCAATGCAGGCATCACCAGGACAGAAAAACTAAGATTATTTATATGCACAAAAAAGAAAAAGAGGAAAAATATATACATATACACACACATATATATTTTTACTGTTAATGTTAATTTAATCAATAAATTTTGGTTTTATATTTTAAAATTTCAACTGGAGAGATCTAAGATCAGAGTACTAACCAAGGATGAGAGGGTCCAATAAAGAACTGCTTACAGAAACTGGTCAATCAATATCTCAAGACATAAAGGAAAATAGGGTAAGAAGGATGAGGCATGCAGCTCAGAGCAATCCATCAGGAAGCCTTTACACAACTATGAATGCCTAGAATATTAAGGAAGAGACTAGATGGAAGGCCAAAAACCAAACGCATAGATCAAATCAACAAAGATGCTGTCTGTAGAGCTGCTTGGAAATAACTGGAAAGAAATAGTAAATTGGCAAAGATGGAGAGGACTGGTTAAGGTGGTAAAAGATCTATAAGATCTGTAATGCCAACAGGAAAAAAAAATTGTGCATATTTACTACTTTTAAATTATTATAATAATAATATTGCATTACATTGGTTCTAGCCAATGAATGCCTGCAGCTATATACTATTTTTTATTTATAAAAAAGTATATATTCTATTTTATTTTATGTGGAATGAAAATATAAATAATTCTTGAAATCGTGAGAAAATGGCTCAGAATGATGCTGAAATATACTCCTTTCTCATAAGTAACCACCCAGTACTATAAAACCGTTTTGCTTTGCTTATATTTATTTTGAATGCTACTCTATAAATAAAAACTGTGATTTTATTATACCTAAAACTTTCAGAAAATAATTCTCATCTACTTACTCCGCAATTCACATTTTTGCTCAGAAGGTGGAAAAATATAAAACAGTAACAAAATATAGCATATTATGATAACCATTAGAAGTCCTTTGCTAATTTTGCCAAGTCATAAAAAACTAATAATTATGTAAAATTCCATTTCACATATGTTTGAGTTAGAACCATATGCTCTTTAATGGCCGCCAACCTGTCAGACCCTATGCATAACCTATTCAATTTTAATGATTAGAGAATATTTTTTCTTTCTTTACCACCAAATTCATTATAATAAATCATATTACTGGGCACAAATTATGATAGGACATATTATAATCATTATTATTAACAGGCCCCATATGTAATATGTATATATTAGATTTCTGGCAAGGGCTAGATTCTCCACTCAAGACATAAGTATTAGGCTCTTGCGCTCTCGTTCAATCTCCACCGGCTTTAGCACCAGTGCCACTGTTGATAGGGTAGCATATGAATCTTCTGGAGTTCTACTTTTCCCTCTATAGTTGGAGGGACAAGCCTTGCTTGGAGTTCCTCCCCTAATTGTAAACAGTGTATATAGGTATGCCTGTGTTTTTTAAAATACTTTTTGATTATTATTTAGTAGTTATTTTGCTTCTGTCTATTTTATATTTTATTTATTTATATTTTCTGTGTGTATATATATGTAGTCTTATCTCACAATAAACCATTGGCCATGAGACAGAATATTATATTACTCAAAAAAAAAAAAAAAATAGTCCAATTTCAATGATTTTTTTTCTCATTTTGTTGAGAATTTAGGTTCTTTTCAAATAATTATAATCAACCATAAATTACTTTCCAAAATAAGATCCTGAGAATTGCAGTAGATAACCCTTGGTTTATAAAAAACAGTAAATTCTATCGTGAACTTAAAGAACAAAACAATAGATGAATTGATTAAAAAATGATTTACCAAATATCAATACCAGTTACCATCAGTTAAAAGGTGCAGTAGCTTTCAACATAGGAACTCCTGCCAAAATCATCCCATAGACTGAAACTCAAACTTTTGCCAGACCTTCTAATGTGAACTCTGTTATATATATATGCATATATATATATTTTTTTTTTTGGTTGGCTCTACAGACCTTGTTGATGTTTGGCCGCCTTAACCAGCCTTCTCCACCTCTGGCTATCTTGGGCTACTGCTTTCCAGTTTGCGCCATGAAGTTCAGCCATATCTTTGTTTATCCTATCTATCCGTCTGGCTTTTGGCCTTCCATGTGTTGTGTAAAGGCGTCCTGATGTATTGCTACAAGCTACATGCCCTGCCTATCTTAACCTCCTTGCCTTCATGTCATGAGATATTGACTGACCCGTTTCTTTTAGCAGTTCTTTATTGTCCTTTCTCCTCCATGTATCAAGATTCTGGTCCCGTATAGGTCCCGTTATCCTACGTATAACGTTTCCATTGAATCTCTCAATTCTGGCTTCACAACCGTACAGCAGAACTGGCTTAATCACGGCGGTGTACGCGCTTATTTTTAGATTTATGGAGATTTTTCTGATTTCAGTAGGCTTGAAAGAGAGAAGAAAGATCTGTTCGCAATTGTTATTCTCTGGTCTATCTCTGTTAGTTGATCATTTATTGAGGTTATTGTGGAGCCGAGGTATTTGAATCTGTCTACTTTCGGGAATGACTTAGAGTCCACGCATATCATGTTATTAGGGTGGATGTTTCGACTAACTATCATGTATTTTGTTTTATCCATATTGACTTGTAGTCCGATTTGCTCTGCTTCTTTTAATAGAGTCCTAGCGAGTCTCTCAATATCCTCTTGATTACTTCCGAGGACAGCTATATCATCGCCATATGCTAGGATTTTGTGTTTCATTCCAACTTGCACCCCTCCATCTTCGCGTTATATTGTTCTTATTACTTTCTCTAGTGCTAAGTTGAACAGCATCGGCGAGAGTCTATCTCCCTGCCTCAAACCCGTTATATCATATCATATTTTATTCATTTACATTACTATTTTTCATTTTATTATTTTTTTTTATTATTTAATTTATGTATTCTTATACTTTATTTATTGTATTATTATTTATATATTCTACAATCTTTTATAGACCATAGTTATAGCCATCATGTATCGTTAGGAATACACCCCGTGTATGGCTCACTAATCCAATCTGAGAATAAAATAAAAAACATACATATATAAAAAAAAATAAAATGTATATTTTTTTGTTTTGAGCAAACAAAGGTCCTCTGAAAAGAAAACAAAGTAACACTAAGATGAAATTTTTGGGGAATGTGCTGATCTTTGCCGCCTGTAGGAGAAGATAATATTACAAATTGTGGCTGAATTATTGGATTTGATGAATTATTAACGCAGATACATGAAGCGAACCGATAAATAAAACACTTTTGAGAAATAATATATCAAGATTAATATATTTTTGCCAAGAAAGATCGGTTGTGTTCTGCGGGTACTGTAGTTACTCAGTGCCGTGGTCCATCCGCCTCACTGGGTTGGACTGAAAAGCATCGAAAGATTTTTACTTTTAACTTACCTACAGGGATGCCCATCTCCCCCTCCCCTCCTTCTCCCAAGGCCGATGGCGCATAAACAGCCTCTCCTCCCAAGAAATTTTGTTGCTCTCCTCTTCTTAAAAGCAGTTTAAGCGAAAGTAGAATTAGGATACCCGTAGATCATAAACAGTTACACTTACTATTGTCTGGTCCATGTTTTCTGCCTTGTTCCCTGGTTAGAAACTTTTCACTTCAAAAAAAATAAAAAAGAAATATGATCCCCTCAAGAATTCAAATCCTCGTCAAAATGTGCTCTCCTCAAAAATTTTGATGGCTCACTTTGCACCATGAATAGTGTTGCTCAAAATCGGTCTTGGTCTTGCACTTTCAAGACCAAGATAGGTCAACTGTTGCAAGATCAAGACCAAGGCTGGTTAGAAAAATCGATTTTTTCGAATAAAAATTAAAGCTAAATCGTTACTAATACTTGACGATTTTAGTTAATATATCTCAAGAATTGGTATAACCAATATACTTTTGCATTTAACTCTTCTAATTTTTCATTCGGGCTTAGTTAGGTTTCTTCTATCGAAAAAAATACAGTAATATCTCTATAGTAATAAGCTAATAGGTAACTGCAAGACTGCTGCTACACTCTTACGCAAGACCAAGACCAAGCCCAAGACTGGGTGCGAAAGACCAAGAATCGTCTTGGTCTCGCATTTTGGCAACACTAGCCACGAAACCCCATGGGCACCTCTGCTTACCTATACATGCAATATGTAGTATTGCTATCGTGATATATTGTACCTTCGTTTTCAACGGAAATACACTTTTTGAGATCCACTTAATCCCACAAAATAGTCTGTGCTTGTGTATATGTGAACAGCCTAGCCCAAAAATGACAAGTCGTAAGAAACTGATATTACGAATTTAAGGTAAGTACATACATGGGATGTTATAAAAACCTTTTTATGAAAATCAGCTGATCGGAAGTTCCACTTTATATTATAAATTTTCCACGTTTTTACAACTTTCTCAAAAACTGCTCTAACGATTTGAATTAAACTTCCAATTGATGTATAATTAAGTGGTCTTTAATATCATGTAGGTCTTTAATATGTAATTCTTGTTTTCATTAATGTCGCCGAACAGGGGACTTAAATGTCCAAAACTTTCTTCTTCCAAAGTAAGGAAACATGGAGGAAATTCAACATGGGGGACGTTGAAACAAAGAATTTGTGTCTTTTTTCCGGTCTGTCTTCAGAATTTAATTTTAGTGCAACTGCGGTTGTTTTTTCTCCAACATTTTAGTAATCATTGTTGGTAATTTTTAAGTTATTCTTTTCATTCGTTAAATTTTAATGAACCGTAATGTGGAACCGTATTTTTATTTCACTGTGCCCCAGAATTGAAACAGTGAATGTTGTAATGAATTGTTAAATTTACGAGAACTTACTTATCATAGAAAAAAAGTATACCTTATATTAAACATATTTTTTAGCCAATAAAGACGGTGAGGAAGCTATAATGAAACCTTACTTGGCAGACTTTTTTAATTTATATTCTTACAGATATTTGCATCATACTTATTATTTATATTGAATACTCATTGTACTATTCTATTACGCTATATTTTATAGACGCTTGAATGTCTTTGATTATTGTTTGGAGAGGATGCTGACGCTAGAACCCAATGGATTGACATATTTAAATCAGTTCAGAAATTGTTCATATCGTATTACGATTAAGATTCTGAACATGAGCTCATTCCTTAAGAGTAATTTATATGCTTCAATAAAACTATTAACAGCTCATTATTTCATTCCGGTCTTAAAAACAGAGCTTTAATTCGAAAAATGCTTTATATTTTTTTTTTTACAGACTTGTTTATACAATTATAATGGTGTTAGCAAGAGAATAAATAATAATATTGCTGCAGGATGTAGCCTAAAGCTCTGGCTACTAAAGGTTTCACAGTAAACAGTATAGTTTCCAGCGGCCTGCTTCGCATCCTGGGCTGTAAGAACATGATTATTAATTTTAAAAAAATAGTTGGAAAAAATGGTTGTTACAAAAATAATTTATTACATTTTAATATATAACACTTTTACTCTTTAAATATATCGTATATCTATTAACCAATTTATACAAAATAATAATTATTTTAAGTCTCATTATCTCCTTTTTAAAAACATGTATTTAAGTACATGCCTTAAAACAAGCCCGATTGAACTGATCCAGTTTTAACTAAGGATTTCTCTACTTCAGCAACAATTGTTTGCAAATCGCCAAATCTGGTCTAGACTTGGTTGATTTTCCCTATTGGTTAATTATTTTCAATAATCAACCATTGTGATCGACCAAAAAAATCAAAAACTTAAGCCCCTCTCAAAATTTGAGGTTTCACGTTTCAGGATGCGTAGAATTCGAAAAACGAATAAAAATATTTTTGTCCGTCCGCCGTCCGCGCATTTTCTCCGTAACTACTGGACCGAATTTTTTCAAATTTTGATATAAAATCAGAGATCACCCGAGGATGATCCTCCTTCATCGACATTATTATCCGCCTTTTACTTTCAAAATGGCCGCCAAAAACCCTGCGTTGATATAGACTCTAGCTCCTAAACGAATGTACCGATTTAATGAAACTTCGCTCAAATCATTTTCTCGACGCCCTTTAAATTTATCTATACAACATACTTCAACGAAAAGAAGCTGGGAAAAAAAGTTACGAGGGATAGTAAAATTTCATTCCAAATAACTCAAAATGTATACACTTTTTTTCGATATTGTATATGGTTTTTTAAAAGTTTAGGAGCAAAGATATGGTATCTGGTTTTTTTTTATATGTTCTACTCCAAATGTTATATCCTTTGTTTGATTTTTAAATTTTGAATGTGTTACTGAAGTAATGCTATTTTTTTTAGCGTATTACTAATGATTAAAAAAAAAAAAGTTTAGTCCAATAGTAGTAATCACCTTTTATTTATTTTTCTTTGTAACTAGGAAGGTAATGTTACTTTAGATGTATAATTGTTTGGAAATAATAAACCATTGTGAAATAATTTGCAGCGTTTTTTTTTTTTTTTTAGTTTTCGGGCTTATTGAAATATGGATAGTTTAGCGGGTGATAACACTTCGTTCATTTTATTACTTTGTAGAATCAGGTTTTGTTTGAATTTTTTTTTTTTTTTGAGATAATTATGAGTTTATTTCTTACTATGGTAGACTTGAGTATTGACGGAGGACATTGTGTACTTTTGGATTTCATTTGATGAATATCATGATGATGGAAAATAAGTTTTCATTCTCGTCGAAAGGTATATTATCTATTTTTAATGATGTTCCAAAAGGTATTTGCGAATCATCGTCGAATGAAAGTCACAAGGCCTTCCGCCACATATGTTACCCTTAGTTATCCCCAATCCTTAAAATGCCCTCGGGCAGTGGAAGGAATTTGTTACTTGTATATATTGTATTGTTATGTAATTTAATACTATATGTGTAATTTTATTAAATAAACATTTTTGGAGGTTAGAAAAAAATAATTGCGAATCATCGATAACATCCTTTGGCAGGTCCATTTACTTGATGTTTTAGAGCTATATTTACCCTTTTCAAATGACTAATGTTTATTTTGCAGGCTTTTATGCCCTTCTTAACTTTTGGTCATGTTTTATTACAGATCAGAGTTCATTAATAGTTTAGTATAAAGTCTGTTTATCAGTTTTTATACTGTTTACTTTGTCATTAAGGGTTTTAATGTCATTTGATATGGCGCCTTGCTTTCTTAATGCTATGTTGTTAAAATCTTCGTTTGACTGTGCTTTTTTATCGATATTTTCATTGGTTTTAGTGAAAAAAAAGAAGGAAATAGAGAAATATGAATGTGATCGTCCAAATAGAGATTAACTTTGAGATAAGGATTGTTATCAATATAGCATTGTCTTAAACTTAGTTCATCTGTATAACTATGTTTATGATTAGTTATTCTTATTTCAAGTAGTTTTTCTATATTGGCAGTAAAAAATAATTTTATTTGTGTCTTCGTTTTTGTAATTTGGTAAGATTATGAGACCGGTGATAGGCAGATGGCTCCTTGTGTTTATGACTTGCTCATTGGGCTTTGAAAATGTTTATTTTATGATTCAAAATCAGGAGTTCCAGTTTCCTGATTTTTTACTTGTTTCATAAATAAATTTATACTTTAATTTTCAAGAAATCGAGAAATTAGTAACTACACTTATCACTTAGCACTACACTGACATTAGCTCTCTACCAACTCTCTCTCTCTCTCTCTCTCTCTCTCTATATATATATATATATATATATATATATATATATATATATATATATATATATATATATATATATATAGGTCAATACGTCGGCAAATCCTATAAAATACTACTATAATGTATAGTATTATATATTGAACGCACCACCTTCCCCCTCCACCGACAAACTCCTCAAAATAATGTTCTATAATTTGGGGCGAAAATAACGTAGGTGTTGAAAAATAAAAAAACATTATTTAAAAGTATATGTATAATATTCCTCGCGCGGGCTCATTACCGCGTATGGGGAGCGTCCCACGGGTGGCGGATGTGGGGATGGTCGGTGGAAATTCCTTGGAAGTTCCTCCCGGCTAAGTCCGATGGACTCGCTGACCAACAATGAGAGGGGCCCTCCAGACTTGCTGGAGGGAGGGGACCTCCAGACTTGCTGGAGGTAGGGGCCCACCAGACTTGCTGGAGGGTGTGACGTAGGATTGAACGCCCTACTCACATATCTTTAGTTCACCAAACACCACAAAAAGTCATGGATCTCCCTAAGGTAAAACGCTCATTATCCGGAGGTAAACTAGTCCCCCGTTCGGGTCTCCGGGTGGGGACTGCTTTAGGGGATTCATGGTGCAAGTTGAAATATAGAGATTTAAATATTGGTACGTGGAACGTAAGGAGTTTAAACACAGCAGGGGGGCTAAAATCGGTCGCGAATGAGGTAAATGGGTACAATTTGGATGTCGTGGCTCTGCAAGAGGTTCGCTGGCCAGGGGAGGGCTCGATGAGGGAAGGAAAGTACACTATTTGGTACGGAGGAAGCGGGAATCATTGTTTAGGTACCGGGTTTCTAATTAGGAGTAGATTACTATCCGCTTTGAGCGACGTACAATTCTTTAGTGATAGAATTTCGGTAGCTATATTTCAGGGACGTTGGTTCAAAATCGCATTAATAAACATACATTGTCCGACCGAAGACAGTGACGATGAAGTCAAAAGTGAATTTTACGATAAACTCGAATGGGTTTATGATAAACTACCGCGAAACTACATGAAAATAATTGTAGGTGACGCGAACGCAAAGGTAGGAAGGGAAGAAGTTTATATTCCGACGATTGGTAAAGAAAGTTTGCACGAATATAGTAATGATAATGGGATCCGTCTGATAAACTTTGCCATCTCGAAAAACCTGATAATTAAAAGTACGACGTTTAAACATAAGGATATTCATAAATATACTTGGACATCACCGGATTCGCAAACACGAAATCAAATCGATCATGTCTTGATACAACACAGCTGGCAAAGCAGTATAATTAATGTACGGTCTTATCGCGGAGCAGAATGTGGGTCGGATCATGAATTAGTAATCGCGAAACTTCGACAAAAACTTAATATAAAAAAGAGAAAAGAAAACCGTTTCGATTTTGAGAATTTTAATTTGGAAAAATTAAAAAATCCATCAATTAGAAACCAATTCGAGCTAGATGTAAAGAATAGGTTTGAAGCTTTAGAGCTTCCTGACGAGGACCACGAGGATATTGACAAGTTATGGGTAGAGATCAGGGATAATATAAAAGCGGTCGGTAACTCGTGCCTAGGAAAAAAGGAAACTAAGAATAACAAACCGTGGTTTGATGAAGATTGCTTAAACATGTGCGAAAAAAGAAAAGCCGCTAAATTAAAAGCTCTAAATAATCCTAGCGAAGACAATCTGGAATACTTCCGAATCTCAAAGAACGAAACGACAAAATTGCTCAAAAATAAAAAAAGGGAGTATCTTAAAAATAAAATAATTGAAATAGAAACTAATAGAATCGAAAATAACGTAAGAGACATGTACAAAGGTATAAACAGATCACGTAAATATGTAGGGCCCGTAACGTCTGGAATTAGGGATGATAATAACAATATTCTGACCGATCCGGTTGACATATTGAATAAGTTTAAGGACCACTTTGACAATATTTTAAATACGGGAAATTATGATCTGTGTCCTCCTTCTGAGTACCAGAGTGCTGAACCGTTAATAGAAGGACCAAGTAAAGAGGAAGTTGAAGTAGCTATCGGAAAATTAAAATCATATAAAGCAGCGGGAATCGATAATATTCCTACTGAACTAATTAAGGCATGCGGGGAAGCTGGAGTTTCTAAAATACATCGGTTGGTTAAAAAGATCTGGGTGAACGAGAAATTACCTGAAGAATGGAAAGAATCTATTCTTATTCCGATTCACAAAAAGGGTCCGAGGACGGATTGTAATAACTATCGAGGAATTTCACTCCTTCCGGTATGTTATAAAATATTCACTTCAATCTTAACCAGTCGAATTACGGAATACGCCGAGGAAATTATCGGAGACTACCAATGCGGATTTAGACGGAATCGTTCGACTATTGATCAAATATTTTCTTTACGGCAAATATTAGAGAAAAAATTGGAGTACAAAGGTATTGTTCACCAGCTGTATATAGATTTTAAAAAGGCTTACGATTCTATTGACCGCCAGAAACTGTATAATATTCTAATTGAGCAGGGGATTCCAAAAAAACTAGTAAATCTAGTCAGGATGTGCTTGACGGAGACACTCAATAAAGTTAGAATCGGTAATAATTTGTCCGAAAAATTTGAGGTTCGTTCGGGCTTAAAACAGGGGGATTCGCTTTCGCCTGTCCTGTTCAATTTGGCATTAGAACATGCCATTAGGGAGGTAATGCGAACCGAGAAAGGGTTGGATCTGGGCGGGACAACATCCGTGCTGGGCTATGCTGATGATCTGGTACTGTTAAGCGAAGACGTTGAAACTATAAAACTAAATACGACAACGTTAATGAAAGCCGGGAAAGAACTAGGACTCGAAATAAACGTGGATAAAACAAAATATATGGTTAGCTGCAAAAATGGCGATACTACTGGTGACATCGATATAGATGGTAATATGTTTGAACAGGTAGATAAGTTTAGGTATCTAGGTTCAACGATAACTAGAAAAAACGAAATTGAAGAAGAGATTAAAGTTAGACTGAAGGCGGGAAATGCTTGTTATTTTTCTGTGACAAAACTACTTAGTTCGCGCCTCTTGTCCCGGAACTTAAAAATTAGAATCTATAAAACAATTATCTTGCCTACAGTTCTTTATGGATGCGAAACTTGGCCACTTACATTAAGGGATGAGCAGCGTCTTAAGGTTTTTGAAAATAAAGTATTGCGTAGAATATTCGGACCGAAGAAGGATGAGTTAACCGGAGAGTTCAGACGGCTACACAACGCCGAATTGCGTGAGCTGTATCCGGGTAATATAATTGATGTAATTTCATCGCGGCGAATCAAATGGGCTTGTAAAGTTGTTGGGCTTAGTAACGAGAGAATCCCTAAAAGGTTAATATTTGCTGTGCCGAATGGTAAGCGTCCGAGGGGTAGACCGAAGCGAAGGTGGGAAGATTGCATTAAAGCCGATCTGAAGGGACTGGGGTTGGACGGCGAACGGTGGAGGGAGGTGTGTAACAAGCGATTGGTGGTGTCGGCATCGAACCTTCGGGTTCGCTAAGCCTTATTATTATTATTATTATGTATAATATTATTAATTATTAATTAAACTTTGATAATTATCTCCTTTTACAAATAATTTATTTGCGGTAATTTATTAGATATGCCAAATCTAGTAGCACAAATTATCATATGGTTTAAATTGATTCATTTGTTGAGAATATATTTTTTTTTTAAATTAGGAAAAGAAATATTGAAATATTCCTCACGGTTGTATCACAATTATATATTATAACTTAAAAATCACTTATGTTATATCTTAATATCAGACCAAAGGAATTAATATTAAAAAATGAAGTGTGTGTGTAAAACACACATTGAATAATTAATGATATTATACGTGATTATAAAATAATAAAAATAAATGCTATTAGTTCAATATGCATATATATATATAGTCCGTGGTACAGACTCTTTTTTATAAAATTATTAACATCCGCCTGAAACTACGTGAATAGCTTCATCTCATCGTAACCTAAAATTGTTTTATTTACGAAAACTTTCGAAAAAAAGAATGCGTTTTCAATCTGGAGTTCGGCAAACTTTGTCTGTTTAATAAGGTACTAAAAACTCGTAAATACCACATGAATTTTAACTAAATTGGATAAAAAAAATCTGAAAAAAGGAGGCCTTCAAAAATAATGGGCCGTTGCTTTGACATGTTATATATATTACACATATTATAATATCTATATTATTAAGTATTATTATTATTATATCATTAATTTGTTTGTCGCAATTTATTAGACATGCCATGTATAGTAGAACAAATTCACGATTTTTTTTTTTAATTTTTATTTTATTTTAAAGCATGAAGTGTGACACAGCACTTACCGCATAAGCTGGGGTATACGGTAGATTGAACACCGCTGCTGCATCTTGTACCTTCAAACTTCTCGTACGGTTGTACGCCTACGATGTTGCCACTTTCAGAAAAACACACATTAAATAATTAATTATATTATGCGTGATTAATTGAAATAATAAAAAAATATTTATTTTAGTTTAAATAAAAAACCGACTACGCAAATAACTCTATCCGTCTTAAGGGATGAAAAATGATGCTTCTGTGGATATTGAAACTTCGTGAAGTATTACTTACCTTCCAACGTACGATTGCAGGTGCTCTATGAATATTGACATGCATAGATCTATGGAACAGAAATTGCTTTTATGTGTCATGACTACTTCACCATATTTCAATATTCACAGACACTAACTAACAACTCACTTATATTTTTATGTGAATATAATAATAAAAATAATAATAATAATCCTTTATTTATTCTGGGACGAGTCCCTTTAGAATAATACAGAAAGACAAAAATGTGGGCTAACGAGCCTCATAGATACATAAACAAAAATATATTGTAAGTGAATAGTCAAAATAAAAAAAATAATAAAAGAAATTACAAGTTACTTTCTAATTTAAATCAGTTAATAATAAAAAAATGAAAATAAACATGAAGTGAAAATAATGAAGAACGATCTGATAATTTATATACATATTTACAGTAGTAACTATTTACAATTTCATGGTGACTGGATGGATAAGAAATGATTGAACAGGCGGGATTTAAAGGTAGGAAGGGTATTGGATTGAGGAATGTGAGAGGGGAGATGGAGTTCCAAAGTGATGAGGATCGGATAATGAAAGATCTGCCGAAAGCAGCAGTTCGGTGGGCCCTTATGTATAAATCAGAAGACCGGGAACGAGTATTGCAGGAACGAACAGAGGATTTGAGAAGGAACGGAATGAAGGACGGTGGGATTGGGTGACTTGAAAGTGGAAGGATACCAGGAAATACTTACGATGGTAGGAAGAATAAAGCCACTTCAACTCTGCATAAATCAGAATATAGAAAATATACATCATTTTCATCCCTTCAACCGAATGGATTTATTCTGGAGAGACTAGTTTTTCAAATTTTATTTAATTAAAATATTTCAACATTTTCAGTTTTTAAATTATTAACAATTCATTTTAATAACAATTATCATTTCTAAACAATTAATACTCGAGATACTTAAACTATAATACGATATTTTTTTCAGTATTTTGTTGTAAAATTATTTCAAAACATTCACGGGATTTTACTGAGTTATTATAACCGTCAAAGTTAAAATGGGTCAAGTCGTCAGCTCAAAAAAATCGTTACATTCTTTTTAGCGGTTTGGTTACACTTTAATCAATAAACTGTCATAATTTTGAGCTCACATTGTTTAAAAACACTCTCACTGAATAATATAAGATATATGTGGTATGTGGCTACAACTAGTCAAGTCGACAAATACTCCTCACGAGTTCTGTAAATTGAGATCATATTTTATCTAACTCCGATAAGAAGATATTAAATTCACGGTTTTCGTCTAAACCTCTAAAAAAATTTAGTGCCGTGAGTTACTAAATTTTCACGGTACTCAGCTAGCTTGGAAAATGATTTCAAAATTCAGAATTCGAGAGGACCATTTTTCGAGTTAACTAGAACCTTGATAATATCTTATAGAAATTTGATCAAGTACATTTTTTCCAATGGTGGTTCGGTGTTTTCAACTCATATTGTTCCAAACTGCTCACGGAACTTCACCGAATAATTTAAGAAGAAAAAGGAGAAAGTGAATTTTATTCTGGGTCTTTTAGGCCCGTAATAATAAGAAACATGTACAATGACAATTACATTATAATATAGATTTGTCTGACACATAATGGCTGACAAATGATAGTTAGGTTACAGAGTTTTGTAGCATTAACATTAAAGTAAGGAGCTATTCTAAATATGCATATAATACGATGAAATTATAGGTGAATTGACTATTGTTTGTTTACATATTTGCACGGTAAGCAATATAAATAATATGTTTGAATTAACATTAGAATAATATTGCTAACATATTTAATTCTCATGAATATTCGGAAGACTGACAGCTGAGGAGTTGGAGAAACAGTTACTTTTTAAATGAAGTCAATGATGAGATTTCGCGTTCAGTGGTGGGTTAAAATGGAATTTAAGATATCAAATTTAGAAATTGATTGAGCCGTTCGTTCAAAAACTCGTTACATACCTTTCAGCGAATACATTTTATTCAATCATTTTTTTTTTTAGCATTAATTGTTACAAAACATTAAAGGGATGTCACCGATTAATGTGAGCCATCAAACTTATTTCACAATGATTTATTATTTCCAAACATCTAAAGTATAATTATGTTGCTAGTTACAAAGAACAATAAATAAAAGATAATTCCAATTATTGGACTAAACTTTTATTTTTAACCATTAGTAATATGCTAAAAAAAAATAGCATTTCTTAAGTAACACATTCAAATTTAATAAACAATACAAAGAATTTAACATTTGGAGTAGAACATATAAAAAAAAAACTGGGGACCATATCTTTGCTCCTAATTGTCCGATTTTAACGATTTTTTTTTTGATTTTTTTTTTTGATTTTTTTTTTTAGGAAATTCCGTTAACTTTTAAAAAACCATAACAATATCCACAAAAAATTGTATACTTTTTTAGTTATTCGGAATTAAATTTTACCATCCCTCGTAACTTTTTTCCAGCTTCTTTTTGTTGAAGTATGTTATATAGATAAATTTAAAGGGCGTACAGAAAATGACTTAAGCGAAGTTTCATTGAAATCGGTACATTCGTTTAGGAGCTACAGTCTATAGCAACGCAGGTTTTTCGACCGCCATTTTGAAAGTAAAAGCCGGATAATAATGTCGATGAAGGAGGATCATCCTCGGGTGACCTCTGATTTTATATCCAAATTTGAAAAAAAAAAAATCGGTCTAGCTTCGGAGAAAATGCGCGGACGGCGGACGGACAAAAAAATTTTTATTCGTTTTTCGAATTCTACGCATCCTGAAACGTGAAACCTCAAATTTTGAGAGGGGATCAAGATTTGAATTTTTTGGTCGATCACAATGGTGGATTATTGAAAATAAAAAATAAAAATCAATTCCAGATGTTCGCTCGAAAATTTGTTACGTAGCATTTAGCAGACAACTCAAACACATAACCCTCCTGTCGCTTAGTCGGGTAATAAATGCTATTAGTTCAATATGACAAATAACCGGAATAATAATTATTATTATTCCAAAACTTTTGTTATGAAGAAGAACTGCATCCATATCTTATCTTAGAAAAGGAACCATTCTAACTCATCTGTAACTAGTGACATCGCCGTTTAATCCTTTGTTATAACTTCCCAAATGGCGAAACAAAAACTTTTTTATCAAAGATTCAATCTAAATAATCGGGCGCAGAACATTTCACTAATAACTAACTGCTCATCAAGACAAATAACACTAAAATTATATACGATATATTATATTGAAAATTCCCCCCATCTCTTTAAGCCCAATATAAATTTTTTGAAAAAGTTCCTAAATAATCCAAACTAGGCAGGATGATAGAGGCAATGAAAACATCTTTACATTCGTAACAGAAAAATATTAACTTAATAAAGACATGATATAGGATGGCAATATGAAAGAATTTGATGAAGAACAGGTGAAAAGATGAAGTGGACTGGCAGAACGCAGAATCAGGAAAGAATAAAACCTAAAAAAAGGAATGGAGATAAATTATGAAAGATCAATACGTTTATGAAAACAATTTTTTTTTCTGTTGACATTAAAGACCATGTAGATCTTTTGCCGCCTCAACAAGCCTGCCCAATCTCTGCCTGTCTTGGCCTATTTCTTTCCATTCATCTGTACGCAACTCAATTGCATCTTTGTTGATTCTATCAATACATCTGCTTTATGGCCTTCCACGTGGTCTTTTGCCTTCTATTGAGGCATTCATTGTTAGGCTTCCAGATGGATTGCTACGAGCTACATGCCTCTCCCATCTTAATCTCTGTGCCTTCATATAATGGGATATTGATTGACCAGTTCGTGTAAGCAATACTTCATTGGCCTTTTTTCTCCGTGTGTTAGTACTCTGATACCCAGATGGCTACAGTTATCGTGTGGTAGATTTTTCTCTGAAACCTTTCAATACTTTGTCTCGGATGCTGGTTTGTGTCCCTCACAGCCATCTATTAGAACTGGCTTTATCATAGCATTGTAAGCCCTTAATTTTAGGTTAAACTTATGAAAACAATATAAGTGTAAAATTGCAAATAATAATCTCATATAGCAAAAACAGATAATACAGATTTTTAATCTTACGCTGGTCGATAGTTGCACACCAACAATATCTGATATGGCAGTTTAAAACTATCTTCATAATAAGTAGCTCCACAGCCAATGTATTTCGTATTTGCCCAAATCATCTGAAAAATTCAATTTAAAAGAAAACAATTTAAAAACAGGAGCGTAGCAGAAAAAAGCATTTTCAGACCAAGTGGAAGTGAAAGTAAAAATTATCGACAGTGCATTTATTTACATTTCATTGGGGATATTCTTATATGTTTAAACACCCTTAAAAATACATATTTTATTTTTTACATCAATGTAATCTATACAATTTAATTTTAATTATACCATTGACAGCATTTTTGAAAACAGCATATGTATGTTTACATATTGTCGGAGTCCGTATTATATTAAGCTCATGTTACATACGGAAGCATGTCCTAATCTTTCGGGTGAGTTCGGGCGCTTGTATTTCATTGGTTTCTCCATTAATTAATTAATTAATCATCAAATTCGTTCATATTTTATATTTAACTATTTTTCATATCAAAGATTAATGTGAAATGGTTAATAATTTCAAATAAAAAAAAATAAAGGTACTTTAGAGGAAGCTTATACTGGAAGTTAGCCATTTAAGCACTGTTAGAGAACATCGATGAGAATAATACTTACATTAAAAACTGCTTAATAATACAGTGATATACCGAGTTTGATCAAAAACGTAGCCTTAACAAGCCTGCTCCATTTCTGCCTCTTCTGGAGTATTTCTTTCCAGTTATATGCATGCAGCTCTATTGTATCATTGTTTATTCTATCTCTCCTTCTGGTTTTTGGCCTTCCATGTGGTATTTTACTTTCTATTAAGGCATTAATTATTATGTAGAGAAGTATTGGTTCCAGCTACATACTCTGGCATCTTAACCTCCGTGCTGTAATATCATGATATTGATTGACCAGTATCTGTAAACAGATCTTTATTGGTCTTTCCTCTCGATAGGTTAGTACTCTGATCACAGATCGCTCCGATTATCGGATGGAGAAATGGCTGTGTACATGTCAGAGTTGCTTGAGTAATTCTGACTAGGCGGATGACTATCGTTTTTCCCTTTCCCTAATGCCTTTTCGCATGCTTCACGTCTTAGCTTTTCGTTTCTCCTAACACATAACACCTCCTTAGCTTTTTATTTTTAGTTCTTTCTCTATTTTCTCCCAGTGTTGGTCCACAGTGTGAGGCTCTCCGTACCCAAGGGTTCGTAAATATGTATATATTCATATATAGGTAAGTGAAAGTAATAATAAATATATAAATTAACTATCAAATACTGTTGATGTACCTGAGTAAAGTGTGAAAACTGTGGATTAATTTCGGCTGGCTTCCAATCTCCAATTTCTTTGTACCACGTTTCACATAATTCTTTTATTTCGCCCTGGAAGAAGCGACTCGAATTGGCATGCCAAGCAATGTTTTCTCCAGTTCCATTAGCTTCATTTTCAATATACCAGAGGTAAAATAAATGAAAATAGAAAAACTTAATACAAACTAAAATTAGTAAATTTATTGGGTCATTTTCAAAATAAATCTACAAATAATAAAAGTTTGTGTGGGTAATTCCATGCAAAATAATCCCGGGGCCGATAACCAATCCCCTAAGATTTTAATGAAAAATCTGGTGAGCACAACACACAACTTTTACTTACTTTTCTACTTTGAATAGAAATTATTTTCTGTCAATGTTGAGCAATTATAAAATTTTTGAAGTGCACTTTTAACCTAGCTATAGCTTAAAGTTTACAGCTAACAAATCATTAACAGTATTAAAATAACAAGAATTATAATAACCCATTAATTATATCAACGGAAGACAATAAAAACTATATTGAGTTGTGTATTTCTCACATTTCCCGTCGGACAATTTCTACCCTTAAACTATTTCATCGCTTCCGCCATCTCCTACCTCAACATATCCGTAGACTCCTAATTTCCTCTCTCATCTTCCCCCACTTTGACTACAGCTGTGTGGTGTATGATGGCCTCTCGGTGGAGCTCCGTGATAGACTGAAAAGATTAATGAATAGCTGCGTAAGATTTGTTATTGGTGCCCCGAGGTACTCCCATGTCTCCCACCACTACACTGAGTTAAGGTGGCTCTTCCCCTCCTTCCGAAGACAATACCTTCTAGGTACGTTCCTCTACCAAATCATCAACAACCATCGTCCTTCTTACGCCTACAACCTTCTCCAGTTCAAATCCTCAGTCCATTCCCTGTCCACAAGATCTCGACCTTCTGACCTTTACATGCCTTCTCACAGATCTGCCTCATTCCAAAATTCCTTTATTGTTCGCTCTGTCAATTTCTGGAATTCCCTCCCTATCAAAATTCGACATTCCCCCTCCATATCCACATTCAAATCCCTCCTATTCCAATTCCTATCACAAAAACAATCAGATACTTGCTAACCGTTCGAGCGGATTTCAATAGAGAATTTGATACATTTTTATTTTTTAATTCTTTATTTTTTTCGGAAAAGTGTATACTGGTCTATAAGAGCAAATAGCTTTATGTTTCTTGTCATAGTATTAATGGTTTTGTATATAGTTTAGTTTGTTTTGTATATAGAATTTTTACCTTATATTTTTTTTACATTATTTCTTTTTTTCGATTTATATTATTTTGGCCAGATGTAATATTTTAATTTTGTTCTATTTTGTTATTCTCAAGGGACTGTGTCCCAGAATAAAGTTATTTTTCTATTTCTATTTCTAAAAACCTCAGTTTTCCATTTGTTTTTGTAAAATACATAACTCCAGCCTCTGAGCAATATATATATTTTCGGTTGGCTCTACAGACCTTGTAGATCTTCGGCCGCCTGAACCAGCCTTCTCCACCTCTGCCTATCTTGGGCTACTGCTTTCCAGTTTGCTGCATGAAGCTCAGCCGTTTCTTTGTTTATCCTGTCTATCCATCTAGTTTATGGCCTCCAACGTGGTCTCTTGCCTACTATTCTGGCATTCATTGTCGTGTAAAGGCGTCCTGATGGATTGCTACGAGCTACATGCTCTGCCCATCTTAACCTCCTTGCCTTCATGTCATGAGATACTGACTGACCCGTTTAATATACACTGACAGGAAAAAAATTCCACCCACTTGATTTTTTCATGTTTTCATCTAAAAATATTTCTGCTTTGGATTGGTCTATTGTTTTTAATGAATAAATAGGTGATCTTTTTGTTTCTTATTTTATTTTCTACATTTTTTTTCTTTGTTATCTTTATTTTAGTTATCATTTGTATGTGCATATTTTGTTTATGATCAATGTAGCCCTGATATTAATGTCCTCCAATGTGGCAGAATGTATTAATTTTCAATTGATACAAAAATAAAAAAAGATTCGTTAAGTAACATTTCAAGTTTTAACAGTTCAACCGGAAAACAGTAAGGACAAATTCTAGTTCCATTTATCTCTGCAATATATCTATCATTTAACAGTCACTTAGGTATATGATCATTATAAAATACCACTATCCCCACGCAGTCTTTTATTGACGTCTCTAGAAATAACCAATTTTTCAATCATACCTCAGCAAATTAACCATACCAGCCAATCGTTGAATTTCAAGCAGTCCGTTAGCGATACCTAAGTTATTAGGGAAATATTTCTATGCCTTAAGTTATACTTACGTCTTTCAGGGTTATGTTTGTCAGATATGCATTTATTTGCATATTTCTGGGCCACTTTGGCTAATTCTGGATCCCATTTCTGAAAACAAAAATTCGTTTTCGGTTAATATATAAGTTTGTACTTTTACAAGTACTGGTTATAGCTGAGACTATTACTATCGGGTTCTACAAAAAATAATGCCGGATTTTGGTTTAAAAAGAAAGATTTACAATTGTTATATTTAATCATATTAGCATTATATTAGCCAACATCCAACTCGCTGTTGGTAAAACCTTAATCATCTAGGTTTATGCTCCTACGGAAGACTCGACGGTTGCTGACAAGGATCAGTTTTATGAAGACCTGCAGAGGTTTTTTTTCTTTTTTTTTTGGGATCCTCCCCTACCTCGCCATTAAGGCTATGCGGGGTTTTCCCGGGCCAGGGGGTGTAGGCGGTAATTTAAAAGACTCCCTCGACATCGAGACGCGAACTCGTAACTATTTTTATTTCATTTGATTCATATATCAAGTTGCCGGACTTCGGCGGTGCTGTGCACACGCGTTAGCCCATTCGGCTACCCCGCCCACGACCTGCAGAGGTCTGTTAACAAAGGCCGCTTGAATACAGAATGGTTGTTATTTGTGGAGATTTAAATGCCAGGACAACGTTAACTCCCATGGAGTAATAGGTCTATGGGGTGGTGAAGATGTTGATAGAATTCCGGATACCCAATGATACGCTTATTGGGTATTCTCACTTCAGAAATAAGTTAATCCAGAAAAATACTTTTATAGCGGAAGGAAGCAAGGCCAAAAGCATAATAGATTACATTATTTATGACAGATGAATGCGTAGATATTTCACAGATGTAAAAGCAATTACAGCGACAGAGTTAGGCACCAATCATCGCCTGGTTGTTACTGATACCAAATTACTAAGCTACGGATGAGTCACTTCAGAGCATATGAACGAATTGCATCCGAAACGTTCAGAGATCCAGAAGTGATTAAAAGATATAGAGAGGTGCTTTTGACAAATCTAAAAGAAGTCAATTATGACTTGACTCATGCATCCCATCATGAAGGATGCATTTGATTCCATTTCTTACCAAGAGATTTTGAATGTTCTACAGGAAAAACGGGTGCCATCCAATCTCATCAGCAATATCAAATTGGTATACCAGGATCCCAAAGGAATAGTGCGACTTAACGGACTTGAATCGGACCCATTTAGGTCTAACAAAGGAATCAAGCAAGCTGATAGCCTAAGTCCACTATTATCATATGCATGGATGAAGTATGGATGGTTTGTAAGCGAAGGGAATGGAAATAAACTCTACAAGAAGTAAGGTGATTTTCTAGCCATAGAGACTTGCGCATATTTAAAGTATATGTCCTTTACCTTGGGGTACTTAAACATTAACATTAACTTCAAAACATAAAGGAATTAGAAAAATGAACTCACAAGAACCCACGTGTCTCTTGCTTCTATTAATTTAGCTCTCCCCCCTGCCACAAGTTCTCTACATTCGTTATGGTAATCAAGTATGCCATTTATATCATCACAACTCAACTTGGATTTCTTCTCTGAAATGGATTAATGTAATAATTGATAAATGTAAACACTAAAATAATAAAACTTGACGTGTATTTGCAACGGTCTGTAAAACAAACGAAAAAATATTATAAA